ACGCCGGCGCCAGTATTTGTCGTACCAAACGTTCGCTTTAAGATTCACACGACTGTACAGCACCAAACTCGTCAACACCATATTTTCTATTTATATATCTGCCAAAACATTCAAATGAGAAAATCAACACGCTGGAATTCAAGGCTACTTTTCGGTTCCATCTCCATATAATTTTTTCGGATCAGGTACTTAGCGCAGAAACGTGGATTATTTTTCTGGGGAGAGTTGATCCGAAGAGAAAACTTGATAGGGTACAAAGCTTAATTTGTTTTTAATCTTATGATGGATTAAAATTACAGAAAATGAACAAGCTCCAACAGCACTTCGATCATACGAGATTACGGTTTCCATCGCGGGTTGAAACAAGAAGTTCCCGAGCAGTAGAAAAGCAGGAAAAAGGTTTGGTCTTATTACTTGAGCGAAACACATTAAGAAATGCACAGAAATTCGCTTGAGTCCTTCCAGATTGTTGGAATATTAAATCATACAGAAGAATACAAAAGCAATCCCCATCACTAGAGAAAACAGGGAATACGATAAATTCTGGTAAGATACTGCACTATTCATGCACACACAAGATGAACAAGGAACTCCTTACTATACTCCCTCTCGCTTTGAAGTAAAATTATACTTAGTGAAATTTACAGTTTCTGAACTGACACATTTCGCCAATGGTAGGATAGGACGAAGTAGGGAATTTCATCATACAGTACTGGATTTCAAATTTATCACTGCGCAGTAACTTTTTTGGCAGTCTGATGTTGGCAAACTTTGAAACTTGAGATTTTCCCGTATCGAGCAATGAAATACAGTACATTGAAAAATACATGGTTTGAAAAATGAAAATGAGCCAACTATTCCTCAAGCAACGCGTGGTTTACTTCCCCGATTCTTCGAAAACGTCGTTTTGGCGATCAAACCACGCAGTTTCTGCTTCAACATTTCAAATCGAGCAACCTGCGCTCGTGATGCTTTCGACACCTTGGGTACTCTCGAGTTTTTCTTCACTACGTTGACGGATTTCTTATTTTTCCGTGGACGATCATCGTCACTGTCCCTGTAGAAACACGTCAAAGCGTTTTGACGATGTTTTGATTTAAACTTAGGCAGTGAATATCAAGTAACACATACCCCATATCCTCATCTTCGCTCAAGATTAGATCACATTCGCTTCTCACTTTGGAGACCCAGCGGTTGTCTTGATTGGATTTCTGCAAAGCCCTATCGAGGGCATGAATTTCTTCGGCGAGGGACAATCGTTCTTTAGCTCTCGGGAAAAACGAGCCGTCCACTGGATAATCCTTCAAGTCGGAATCTTCATGATCACGGCAAGAAATAATTTTTCAGAATTAGAACTAAAATACCAAGTCAACCCAGGAAAACATACGAAAAATGTATTATGCGATGAAAATATCGACCTTTTTCAAATACTTGGTGAACTTCTCCCAAAAGCGCATCAAATTCATTGACGGTGAACTTAATGTAACAAATTCGAATGAATAGCTCAATGCATAAAAAAGTGCAGAGTGGCATGATTTCACAAAATTGTCACCACCAACCAGCCCGGTCAGTCCTCGTGCTCTATTATACGAATTATTTTCGAGAAGCCGAAGAAGGTGGGAAGCAGATGGAAAGAAGTGGTTGATATAAAATATAATTCTCATTCTAACAGCCACCGTCAT